CCCGCGCGCCCGCCCCGCTCCAGTCCCCAGCCCGCCGCCAGCGGGTGCTCCGCGGGCGCGGAGAGGAGCGCGCGGCAGCCGGGACCTACCTGTCTGCGGTGCGCCCGCTTGGCTGCGCCCGGGAGCACGGGCCAGGCGGTGGGGCCGAGCTGAGCCCTCCCGGAGCCGCGCTTGTCTGTCCACCCGCCCGCCCTCCCGGCACTTCCGCATCACCGCCCCCGCCCCTGGGCAGAGGCCGCCGAGCCCGGGTGCGCGGGCAGCGCCCCGCCCTGCCCCGCGAAGCCACCGTGGGGTCCCCGCGCAGACCCAGCGACCGAGGGGCCGGGCTGAGCCTCGGGCCAGGCTGGTCCCCCTGCAGCCCAGGGCCTGGGGGAGACGCCAGGCGGCGAGGTAGCCTTGACTGAGTACTGGGCTCCTTCAGCAGTCGGGAAGCGCGAAGTAGTCGTTCGACACCCCTAGCCCCCCACCCCACTCTGCCGCGGTGCTCGGCTGGGCCCGGGAGCTTCCCAGCCTGTCCCTCCGGGAGCTCAAGATCGGTGCGGACATTGGCGATCAACCGAGCCACGTACCAGCGCGGTGGGGCGGACTGATAAGACAGCCCCCGGCCCTCGCCCGCCAGCCTGCGAATTCTACCGAGGGTCACTGGCACCCAGCCGAGGGTCGCTGGCACCCAGACTCAGACAACCCCTCCACGACGTGCCTGCAGACAGGGATCCTCCTTTCTAATTCTCAGCCTTCTCACCTGCCTGCCCCAGGTCCCCTCCCTGATCACCTTCCGGGCCTCTCAGGGTCAGCTCCTTGGTCGCTTGTCCCACCTCTTCACTCACCGCTATCCTGACTACCAGTCTGCCGTTCTGAACGCTTTTCGGTTCCACGCGTGGGCCTCCTCGCTGGCCTCAACCTTCACACAACCTGTTCCCTCTTCAGGAGCATTCTTCGTTTGGGAACACCTGCTCCTCTTCAAATGTTTTCTCAGCATCACCTCCTTTGGAAAGCTTACCTTGACTTCCCTTCCTAGGTCGGGTTCCCAGCCTCTGAGGCTCGTCCTCGCTGGTTTTCACTTAGGATTTTAATGTGTGATTCCCACTGGAATCAGCTTACTCAGGGACCACTCCTGTCTCTTCGTCTTCTATTTTCTATAGTAATTTTTAATTAAAATATTTTAAACGAAGGAAATTTACGTCAGTTGATTAAATTTTAGGCAGAAACTAAAATACATAAGTTCTAAAAAACACTATTTGCACTTTAAAGTTTAGAGCCTGTATTTTTTAACAAATACAGCCGTATTAGTTAGTTGATGAATCAAAACTTTGACCTTCCCCTCCCCTCTCCATCTCTGCAGAAATACCTAGGTTGGTCTTTACCCCTGATCTGTAATCATGACTCTTTACATGTTGTCTGTTTTTCTTCTCTCCTGCATCTCTCTCCCTCTCCCCCACTCTTGCATAGCCCTAATATAAAAGGGAATATAATTATATGTATTTTATTATTTGTATCTGCTGAATCTTTCACTATTTTATATTTTTAAAATTTAAAGTGTCAATGCAGAAAATGAGGATAGGGAGATTGTTTTGTATTTCTTTCTTTAAATGTGAAACTGCTATTTACTTGAAAATGGTTGCCCCCAAAATACGAACCTTTTTCATTGGAGGTCAGTTGTGCTTAATAGAAAGTATTCTATGTTGGACTAGAAAATATATCTGGAGCAATAGTCAAGAGGAGCCTTCTTTTATTGTTAGGTGCACCACACGCAGCTTAAGGGAGCGTGAGACTAGGATTCTGCACTCTGCCTCCCCACAATCCCGTGTCCTCAGGTGAGGCCTCCCACCCTTAGGATCTCTGAACTTTGTCAAGAACCCTTCGGGGGCTGTGTGTAGAAGGGGCACTGCCCTTGAGCTTGCATCCAACTCTGCTGCATTCAAGCTCAGCGACCTTAGGCAGGTCCTGTGACTCTCATTCCCTGTGGTAAAAGGGAGGTGACGTTATCGAGATCGCAACATTGGCGTGATGCTCTAAGGATAGGGTCTATGCAGGGGCTCCACTCGGCTTGGGTCCTGCCTTCCCCAGACCAGGGGAACCTGAACCAGGACCCACTCTGGGCCATAGACATGGCATAAGGAGGAAGGGGTGAGGACAGAGAGCATCACTCAGGCTTTTCCAAAATTGAAGGGTCCCCGTGCTTCTGGATGCTGTCTTATGCTGAAGGGGAAGTGAGACTACGCTGGTGACCCCCATGTGATCACTCCCAGTTCCCCGCAGTGGGACCGGCGTACACGGGGAACGAGGAGACTCGGCCTCCACAGCCCCAGGAGCCTCAGCAGAGACGTGTATTCAGGCCTCTTATTCCCAGTGGTGAGACAGCCCCTGCCCCGACTTCCCCTGGCCGGGGCATCAGACTGAGGGTGTGGTGAGAGGCCTGATTCCTGTGGAAGCCACCATGCGTGTGTATCTGTGTATGGGGATGGGGGAGCCACATCACCAAAGGGAACTGAAAGAAGCTCAGGGTGAGTGGTGGAGAGAGAAGGTGGAGATCCAGCAGCTGGACAAGACCCCCTCCCAACTATGGACCTGCCCCCCTCAACACAGGCCTGGGCAGATGACAGCTGGCTTTGCCCCCAGTACCTCCCATCCAGGAGACCCATCCCCTCAGTCTGGGCTGTCGGGCTTCCCCAGGCTGGCCTGGTCCTCAGATGTCCTCCCGTTTCTAGGAACTTGCTGGCGAGACACTGGGCTCTGGACTCCAACAGGGCTGAGTCACACCCTGGCTCTACCACTTGGGAATTGTGTGACTTTGAGCAAAGCTCGGACTCTCTTGGAAGCCCCATTTCCTGCCTGTAAGGTGAGAATGATAACATCACGGTCACAGTTGGACTGTGAGGCCTAAATTTAACAAATGCTCAGTGAGCACCTCCTATGTACCAGGAGAAAGCGGCGAACCAAAGTCTACTTTGTCTAAACACCCTGCCTTCCTGGAGCTCCCATTCTATGAAGTGAGCTAGACAATAAATGCTTCAGTAACAAATTTGGGGGGGCAGGGCACTTCGTGGGTTGTGTTGCACAGTCAGAGCAGAGGCGCCACATGATCTGACTTAGGGTTTTACACGGCCATTCTGGCTCCTGCCTGTAAAGCACATAATACCACGTCTGACACGCGAAAGTGGCAGCTTCACTGCTACCTATGCCCGGGACGCCACAGCTGGGGCTTCCTTCCCCTTTCTTACTAAATGCTGCCTCCTCAGAGCATTCTGAGTTGTGAGCTGGAAGTCCCCCGCTTGGCCAGCACTGTCACGCAGATGCCTCTAGACCTCATATCCCACCCCACCCCCTTCCAAATCTGCACTCTATCTCTTCAAATGGCCTGTGTCCCAGGAAGCTACACAGCCACCCTCGTCCATGCCAGGTCCTGGCTCTGTGCTCCCTTAACCCTGCTGAGAATAAATGCTGCTTCCCTTTTCCTTCGTGGTCACAGCCCCTCTCCTCTCCCTAACCCTCTGCAATCTGGCTCCCACCCGCTTTCCCACGGATTCTGCTCTGGGCCTTGGACCCAGAGCTCCAGCCGTCCCTGAGACCCTCAGGCATGCCTCAGAAACTCCAGTCTCTGCATGTCTTCTTTACTTAAACTCTCAGATCCTGAGGTTTCACTATTGCCTGGGTTTCTCACCATCCACAGTAAATAAATGCCCTGGGATTTCCCTCCTAGCTCAGCTCGGTGCCTTAGCATCCTGTGCTAAGGGCGCTGCCTCGCCCCTGCCCTGCCTCTCAGTGCAGTCGTCATTGGTCCTTCTGCTGATTCTTCCCCCACTTGTATCTTCCACCACAACACCAGAATGCCTCTTGCCCAGGTCGTCATCTCCCCACTCTGCCCCCGCAACTACGCCTGGTCTGATTCAGACACTCCTAAAATCTACTTAGCTCAGTGTTTTGCTCAAACCACTTCCCTCTCCAGTACTGGGCTTTATCAAGGAAGGGGCTGGGGCCGGAGCCTCCATCCTTCCTGCCTGTCTGGAGGACTCACTTGAGAGCATGCAGCACTTGGACAAGGAGGAAAAGGAAGAGGAGGAAGTCCAACCTGGAAACCACAGTCTTCCAGGGCTCCTGCAATGCGAATGGCTGAGCCCCTGCTTTGTGGGGACAGAGGCCACCCCAGTCCTGTAAGAACCAGCTGTGGACTTCAGTGTCCTCTCTTGTCCCAAACGGACTTGGTTGAAGCCCAAAGTCCATAGGTGCCCCCACCGGGGAGAGGGATCCCATCCAGATGCACAAGGACCACCCGTCATTGATGTGGGATGCAGGGGGCCCCGTGGCTTATCAGCCAGATTCATCTCAAGCCCCTGCAACTTAGAACCAGGGCTCAGGATCCCCCCTGGGGCAGGACTGTTGTGCCTCTAAGGTGGGAAAGGAGGAGGGACTCAGTTGTGTCCAGGATGGCAGGGTCAGCCCAAGGGCATGGGTGGGGGCCTCTTCTCAGCTCACATCTGGATCTCAGGATGGTGGAAAGATGACAGAACCACCCTGGATGGGAGGGGACTCTGGGGATGGCTCTGGGAGTCCAGAGGAGGCACTCTCTGGCCTGGAGTGAGGTGTGAGGTTATGGGAGGGGGCAGGGGGCATGATATTCATCCCACGTGGCCTCTCAACACTTCACCATGGGAGGGGGATGTCCCAGCTGCCCCTCTCTGGCCTCCTAAGGGGTGGGCTGGCTGGGCGTTGTGGCCTGAGGACGTCATGTATGTGGTAGAGGCAGGAGAAGGAGCTCTTGGGGGCCAGGAGCCAACAGAGCTGTGGGAACAGGTGTTTGGTTCTTGCCAGCCAGGTACCCCTGGGCCAGGGCTACCACCCTGTAAGAGTCAGACTTGGGGGCCCCAGATGGGGCTCCCCCAGGCTTCTCTGCTGCTTCTATGGCATCTGATGCTGGGGGCAGAAAGTCAAGAAAGCAGAGAGCCCTGAGGGCTGAAGGACCCCAGGGGGCTCCTAGAGCAGGACCACACTGCTCTCTCGGGTCCTCCTAGAGAAGGAAGGTGTCAAGACTTGCTAGAGGGGAGTCTAGAGGGAGTTCTGACCAGGCCAGTGTCCTGGGATCTCAGTGTTTCACAGCTTTTCAAGTCCGGAGCCAGCTGGAGCTCTGATGCCCACCCAGGCCCCCTGTGCCAGG